GAAGGGTCTACAGGGTGTTCAGAGTCTCACTACTAGATCAGACTCGTAGTGATCCACCTGTTTACAGCCTCCCAAGAGCTGGGATTACAGGCATGCGCCACCACACCCAGTCTCTTTTTTTTCCCCCAGTCTCAATAAACGTTTTTTAAAGAAGTGATATAGTACAACTATAAAAACATGAGTAGGCTACCTAGAGGCACAAGGGAAAGAATAATTTGAATAGAGGTACATCAGAGGAATCTACAAAAAACTTTGAGGAGAGTATTTAGATTCTCAAAAAAATTTCTTAGAATACCAGAATGTTCTGTCTTGATTATCTTGTTAATAAGACATTACAAGTTAATCTTTTGTATATATCTTGGATAAAGTGAATTTCAGGTTCTTAAACAAAAAATCAGTTTTTAGTTTTTTTTATTTTATACTAATAGAAATTCATGTTTGATTTTAGACTTTTAAGTTACTTCTAAATGTTCAGGGTTGAATAAACAGCATTCTATATAATATAAAATACTATATCCAAACTAAGGAACAAATATCTCACTCAATAACATCATGCTGATAGACTGAAATTGGACATGATGTCTACAATACAGAAATCAACAAATGCTTTAGGGTATGTTTCTCTCACAGAGCTGGTTGGCACACATACCGAAACGTTAAAAGTGTTGTGTTTTTGTTTTTGTTTTGGAGATAGGGTTTCACTACACTGTGTAGGCTGGCCTTGTGCTCATTTTTTGTAGTCCCCTGGCTAGTCTCAAACTCACATCTGTCCTCCTGTCTCAACCTCCTGAGTGCTAATATAGTGACATGGTGTCTTTCTCCTCATAATCTCTGGGAAACTGGAACTGGCAGAAAGTAGCAATTAGACTAATATGATAGTAAAAGCAAGTGATTAAAAAAATGTCAAGAATTACTACCTCCAGCAGCAAAAGCTTCTCTCAAATAGGATGAATATTCTTGGGGTTTTTGTTTGGTTGGTTGGTTGGTTTTTTTAGAATGAATATTCTTTCTTAAGATATAAGAAGAAGCAGACATTTAATATAATAATTAGGAAAATTTTCTTTGTAATGTAACATTAAGATGCTTTGGGAGGGGCTGGGGAGATAGCTCAGTGGTCTGAGCACCTGCCTGACAAGCACAAGGACCTAGGTTCAATCCCTAGTACTGCATGCTGTGCTGGCTATTGAAACCAGGCGTGTGGTGCATGCCTGTAATCCGAGTGCTGGGGAGACTGAGACAGGAGGATCACTAGATCACTACCAGTCCAAGCTGCATAGTAAGACTCTAAACCAAATAAATAAAAGATTTTAAATTAAAAAAAATGCTATGAGAACCTGTACTGTAACATCATATAACTCAATTGTGTCCCAGATTTTCTAATCAAGGAGATTATGGGGCCAAATAGGAAAGTGATCGATGATGTAGAGTGTGCCTAAGGAGAGTCACACAGAGAGAAAACATTTTCTCAGGCTTTCACAGAGAGCAAGTTGGCCAAGCAATGGCTGTGACTCATCCACATGGCTGACACTTGACAAAGGATCTACTGAGGTACAGGATCTCAGGATAAATCCTGAGGGGATTTAACTGACCTTATCAGATACAAAAGCTACAATTCTTGTTACATAGGTCTTGCTTTATCTTGGTCTTAACCATCCAGCAGAAAAGTATAAAAACAAAGTATAAGAAGTAAAGCCATGTTGGTATGTTGAGCTGTAGGGGAGTCAGGTCAACAGCTTCTGACATTGCCAGTCAAGCGGAAGACCCAATACTATTATGGACTACTGGACTATTTTGGAATATTTTGCTGAGTTCATACACCTATATTTAAATGAAGGAACTAAACAAAAAAAGGGGATACAGATGAATGACCATTTTGTATCTTTGTATTCAAAATGGTTAGGATAGATATATAGCTACATTCTCTTAATTCAATGAATAGAGGGATTTGTTCTAATAGTGTTTGTAAATAGGATATCATGTCTGCATCTTGTACAACAAATAACTACTAGGTAGACAGTATGCAGTGTGTTAATTATTGAAACTGTTCTACCAATTTGATTTGAAACTGTCTCATTGCTATTTGTTTCTCAATAAAATTATGGGAATAAATAAATAGAAGATGTTTTGGAGATGGTATAATGACACACACTTGTAGACCTAGAAAAGGAGGCTGGATGGATGGATCAAGATAAATCTGGATAATTTAGATCCTGTCACAAAATTAAGAATAGTGCTGGTGATGTACCTAAGTGATGCTCAAGATTCAGTTGCCCATACTGGGGAGAAAAAACAGATTTAAAAATGCTTTGGGGACACAAATTTATTTCTGAAATTTTACTTTTTGGATATGAACCCTCTGCCAGAAGACTATTGAGAAAAACTTAGAGCTGGTAGGAGAATAGGAAAATGAGAATGTGATAGCTAAGGGATGTGTGGTTTCTTTCTAGGATGATGAAAATGTTCTCAAGGTTGACAGGTGCTAAATTGTACAATTCTGAATATACTTAAAATTGAATTATATACTTCCAGATAGTTAAATCATATAGTATTTGGATTATGTCTTAGTAAAGCTATTTTTAAAACTTACATGTAGCTTTATAAGGTTAAAAAATCAACTATTGATTGTTCTTTAAGAAATAGACAACAAACTGGGCGTGGTAGCACATGTCTGTAATTCCAGCAGATGGGAGGCTGAAGCATGTGAGTTTGATACCAGACTGATCTACAAAGTGAACTCAAGGCCAGTTTGAACTGAATAGTAAGACGACATCTCAAAAAGATGAAAGAACTAATTATTATTCTTTCTTTGTGGAGGCACATGGAAACCAACCAGTTAAATCTAAAGAAACTAGAAAGAGAGCTCAAGCTGCATCTGGGAAAAGAGTAAGTTTTGCAATAATATGCAAGTTAAGTAAAATGACAAGTCTCAGAAAATCGTCGTAGATTTTTTAAAAAATTGATCATATCACTGAATATACTCCAAAACTCTGATATTCAAATCTTACTCAACTATATTTTGTTCTTAAAAACATATTGAAATATTTTGGTTTATTAATTTTTCCATATAAATTTTTTGTCCCATTCAATAATAATTTAGCTATCAGAGGAATTTATAAAAGAAAAAAATCAGTGTCAGGAAAAATACCAGTAGAATGAGAAAATAACATCATAAGAATATTCAGGGTACTTTATATAGAAATAAAATTGAACTCAAAATTAATAGGAGCTTTCTAGAAAGCAAAACTAAAATAGAACCAAAAAACCAAAACAACTTTGGTTTTGTTAAAAATATAGCCAGGCATGGTGGTACATGCCTGTAATTCCAGAACTCAGGAGGCTGAGGCAGGAAGAGCATTGCCTGTTTGAGACCAGCCTGGGCTACAAAGTAAGCTCTTAACTAAACTGCATAGCAAGACCCTGTCTGAAAATAAAGTAAAGTAAAATATAACATAACATAATGAAATATAGCATCTCCTCCTGCTATCTAAGAAGAGTGACAACTTTTCCTGACCTAAATTATATAGTTTTTTATTTGGAGCTCTATTTTACCAAGTCAGATATTATATTTTTAAAATATTATATTGTTTGACTAGAATTATTAGTATTATTATTTGGTTAAAATTAGAGAACTGAAGCTGGGTGTGGTGGTGCATGCCTATAATCCCAGCACTGAGGAGGCTGAGGCAAGAGAATTGTTGCCAGTTGGAGACCAGCCTGGGCTACAAAGTGAGCTCAAGGCCAGCCTGACATGCATAGCAAGAAAAAAATTAGAGAACTGGAAACTATATTTTCAAAACTCAAATGTAAAAATGGTGATCTCAAAAATATAATGGGGGAGGGGGGCACCAGGGAGATGGCTCAGTGGAATAAGCACTTCCCTGGCAAGCGCAAGGGCCCGAGTTCAATCCCCGGTTCCGCAAAAAAAAAAAAAAAAAATTGGGCTGGGCATGGTGGTACACACCTGTAATCCCAGCACTCAGTACTCAGGAGGCTGAGGCAGGATTGTGAGTTTAAAACCAGCCTGGACTAAATAGTGAGTTCAAGGATAGCCTAAACTACACAATGAGATCATGTCTTAAAAAAATACTTATGGGGGCCAGGGAGATGGCTCAGTGGAATAAGCGCTTCCCTGGCAAGCACAAGGACCTGAGTTCAATCCCCTGTTCCATAAAAAAAAAAAAAAAAAAAAAACCTTATGGGTCTTGGAGATAGTTCAGCAGTCTAAACACCTGCCTAGGCAAGTACAAGGACCCAGGTTCAATCTCCAGTACCACATGCCATGCTGGCCCCACTTCGGGTGCAGGCCAACCTGGCCACCAAGACCAGGCCTGGTGGTGCACACCCCTAATCCCAGCACTGGGAAGGCTGAAACAGAAGGATCACTATGGGTCCAAGCTGCATAGTGAGACCCTGTACCAAATACATAAAATTTAAAAATATATTTATGTATTATAGTAAGGCTGGGTGTGGTGCCACACACCTTAACCTCAGCACTTAGGAAGCCAAGGCAGGAGGGTCAAAAAAGACAAATAAATAAAATAAAAACATTATGCATCTTACTCACTAGATCTGGCACCATGTGATTTCTGAGTCTTCCCCCAAAGACAAAAGGAACTTGAAAGGTAAACATCTTCAATCAGTTCAGAATATTGTGGCAGCCACAGCTGCACAACCAAAGTCACTTCAGAAAGAGGACTTCCCATACTGCTTCATAAAAGTAGAAACAATAATAAGTGGGCCGGGGAGATGGCTCAGTGGAATAAGCGCTTCCCTGGCTAGCGCAAGGGCCTGAGTTCAGTGCCTGGTTCCAAAAAAAAAAAAAAAAAAAAGACATAAGTGTCTTTAAAACAAGGGGAGTATATTTTGAGAGGGCTAATGACAGTGATCTTTTACTAAAATAAGTTTTTCTGGGCTGGTGAAATGGCTCAGTGGTCTAAAGCACCTACTTAGAACAAACTTAGCAAAGCAAAGGGACCGCGGTTCAATCCCCCAGCACCACATGCCAGCCAGCCCCGCCCCCTGGTGGGCTGAGCTAGACACACACACACACACACACACACACACACACACACACACAAAATTTCTAATAAAATAAGTTTTTCTAAAACTATTTTTCCATCTCACTTTCTATATTTTCTGCAGCCATCAGATGTGCATTTCAATGACAAGGTCTTACCCTTACTTTTAAACAACCTAAATATTCTGTCTTAATAGAAAATAGTTATGTCTATGTATGTTAGGTATAATTTTTAAAACCAGAGAGACTAACCTCAGAAACATAAAAAAAGATGCAAAATAAAAGATATTTCAACTGGCAAGATTCTATTCTTAGTTATTGTTTTCTTTTAACAGGTCTTCCATCACTTTGATTTTTCTAGTCAAGAGTCTGTGCCAAAAAGGAGAAAGTTCAGTGAACCAAAGGAGCATGTGTAAAACTACTCTTTCTTCTGCACATTTGGAAAGTTGTCATTGTTTAAAGTAAAAAATGCCATATTGCTGTTTTAAGGTGTGTTCTTCCCTTGCTCTGAAAATTTATATGCAGTTTTAAACAGTTCATACACTAAAATGAAGTTCTGGGCCATTATGTTGTGGTCCTTAATTTTGCCTAGGAGAAATTCAAGAAAATTTTGGAAGAAAACCAAAAGCACAAATGTAGTAATTGATGTTGTTCTTTATCTACTGTATGCCATCTATCTTCCATTTTAAATCTGTATTAAGATTGTATAATGCAAATCACTTTTTGAAATAATGTTTATTTTGGTATTAAAACTTTGTAGGATTCATTTTTTTCCCTTTGTTAAAACTATACCATATAATTACTGGTTTTGCCCTTGTGTTATTAAGACAACATTCTATATATTGATATATTGTATTAACGTATATAATGTACAATTTAAAAATTGATACTTAAGCTTTTTTACACTTTTTTACTACAGAACAAAAAGATGACTTTTTTAAAAGACAAAATAAACTGTTCAGTTTGGTGATTCTTTTATTATGACTTCTAATTTTATTTAATTAGCATAAAGTATATAGGTATTATTTTAGTTGAGACAGGGTCTCACTACATAGTTCAAGCTGACCTTGAACTCACTATGTAGGACAAGCTGGCCACGATCCTGTGGCATTCTTCCTGCCTCAGCCTCCCGGGTGCTGGGACTGTAGGAGTGTGTCACTATGCCCATTTAGGTATTAATTTTGCCCAGCATCTTGAGAGGCTGAGGCCTGAGGATCTCAAGTTGAAGCATGGCCAGGAAAATGTAGTGACTTAGTGAGACCCAGCCTCAAATTTTTAAAAACATAAAAGGAGGAGGGCAGGTTGGGGATGTAGCTCTGTGCAAAGGTGAGGATTCAATCTTCAGTAAAAGAGTCTGAGCATACTTTGTTGTGGTAGTGTGAAAAACACAGCATTTTTTATGAAAAACCCAGGACCTCAGGCATACCTTTTTCCTTTGATTTAGGAAAGAAAGCCTTAAAAATATTCGCCTATAGTAGTTTCAGCAGCCATACTCCATGTGCTTATCAGTAACAATCAATACCTAGGGAATGATGGTTTGTATTCGATGGTAAAAATACATCTATTTAATGTAAATGAAATAACATCCACAAACTGGCTCAGATCAGGTTTTTCTGGAACAGTCATGTTAAACTCGCTGTCAGAAACAACCAGTTTTAAAATGTTTGTTCTTAACTGCTTGGATCCCAACGCTTCTTAACCATATTTCTCCAGTATGTACTGCTACAGTAGCACACCTGCTACTCTGCGCAATTGGTCAACAGAAGAAGCCTTTTGCGATTGGCTCAATGGACCCTTTGATTGGCTCATTTAATGGGTAGAGAGCCCAGCCCACTTTTCTCTCTTACACCAAGACACTCTCATTGGATTGATCAGCTGTCATATTGAACCTAAACCTGCCTCTTTTCGGTGATGTTTGTCTGGATCGCAACACAATAGCAGGGGGGAAGAGCCTCCCCTTGCAAGCTCCAATTGGTTAAACTCAGTCTTAGTGGTTTTTGATTGGCTCTATGAAGAAACAACAAGGTAGGTTGCCTAGTGATCCTAAGGAAGCTGATGTGTTATTCCCTCTTGCAATCTGAGGATCAGGAAGTTTATGCTCTCTGCGTGGCTGAGAAGTTTTTTACCTAGTAGGACAGGGTGGGGTGGAAGAAACAGGTGTCGTCCTAACGCAGTGCAAGCTATAACCTGCCTCTAGCCGTAACCCAGGAATAATCTCAGGTAAGCAACGGGAAAATTAGCTTTCCTAACGTAAAAAAACCTGTTCGTTTTTTTAAATGGAAAAAGTGGGTTTTATTTACTAATTCTTCGCCATTTGTTTTATCAAATAGGAATTTTAACTGGCAAATATCCAGAGGAAATTAATTCCTGAAAGAAAATTCTTATTTTTACCCCTAAAGGTTTAAAGTTTCTTGAATTGGGTTAGGAGATAATCCCAGTTTAATGCCAGATAGTGTTAGTGTCCTGAAGCATTCATTTTGTAGTTCTGTTCCTCCTTCATTTTTCTTGCTTCCCACCAAAAATTATACTGTATTTTGAAACAAACCCTTGTATAAAGAACCTTCCATAAGAAATTTCATTTGTATTTGTGTTAAATATTCACATCCATTTCTTTAAAAAGAATTTGCTAATCTTTTAACATGCTTGCTAGTTTTTCTTGTTGACAGCTATTTGTATGTTCACAAGAGGGCTAGCTAGGATGAAAGATGCTAAGTGTCCTATGTGGAATTACTACTCAGTTTTCTGAGTGTTATTCTCAAGGTTAGTGACCTTCAAAGTGAATACATGAAAGCAGCTCCTAAGGATGAGAAGAAAATATTAAAACATGTATTTCTGTTTAGTTTTTCTTGTTTTTTACTTTCTATTTTTTTTTATTTAATTTTTTTTATGGTGCTAGGGATTGAACCTAAGACTTTGTGCTTGCTGCCAAACACTACCCCAGCTTTGTATGTTTCATAATATTGTTGAATGTTACAGAAGTTATACATTGTGTGCATTGTGTCCCCATAGTTTTTCCGCCGTCTCATCTTATATAATTTGGGGATCCATTTTGTACAAAAGAAGTAACAACAGAGACATCTATTTCATCCTTTATAGGTTATATGCAAGGAATCACCATTCTTAAAAGATGATCAGTTCTACTGGATGTTAGAATTACTGACTTAGTCTTTTGTCATGGCCATTTGTGGAGTCTAAGCTGTTGTACTTTGAAAATGATACTGTGTTGGACATTCAGTTTTTCTAGCCATTATTTATTTTGGTATTGGAGACTGAACCTAGGATTTCCTGCATGCTAGGCAAGTACTCTACCACTGAGCTATTTCCCCAGCCCCTGGTCATTAGTTCTTCCTTAATATATTTAAGTTTGTAAATATGTCTTATTCATATATGTTAGCATGTATATATGAATATCTATAAATTTTTATTTATGTAAACACACATAAGTATATTTTCTTCAACACCCCTTTCAGAAGAAATAGGTGAGAATGACAACATTAACTCACCGGACCCGTCGCACAGAAATAAACAAGAATTCTGAAAAGAAGGTAGAAAGTGAGGAAGACACTAATCAAGAGAGGAGTCTAGATAATGAAGATTCTGGAGACTCAAAGGACATCCGCCTCAGTCTTATGGAAGAAATATTGCTCCTGGGACTAAAAGATAAAGAGGTAATGCATCTAGATTTGCTAGGCTATCTCAAAAACCCAAATATTGGAATGTTTTGGGAGATAGTCTGATGGAATATTTTTCTTAATGCTAAGGTGACTTTAGAATTGAATGCTAGGGGCCAGGGAGATGGCTCAGTAGAATAAGCGCTTCCCTGGCAAGCTCAAGGGCCTGAGTTCACTCCCTGGTTCTGCAAAAAAAAAGGAAAAGAAAAGAAAGAATTGAATGCTAGTCTTCTTGGAAGAATCTGGGAAGATGACTGATAGATACTTGGAGAGTAAACTCTAGAAGTATAATTACTTGAAGTATAATATAATTGCAGAATTATAGAGGACACAGGAGAGGATAACACAGTGTAAAGTTTTGTGTTTGTAGTTTTTCAGGTCAGTGTAATAGTGAAGTAGTAACCTCTTATTAAAGTAAGAAAGAGGGCCCACACAGTGAAGTCTTCTTGAGCTTTGAGGAAGAAGTCTCAATGAAAAGACAAGGAAGGGGTCAGGGAGATGGCTTAGTAGAATAAGCACTTGCCTGGCAAGCGCAAGGGCCTGAGTTCAATCCCCAGTCCCGCCAAAAAAAAAAAAAAGAAAGAAAAGAAAAGACAAGGAAAATGTATGATATCTGTCTTCCAGAAATAAATGATGTGTTAGATTTCTTAAAACAAATAATTTTTTCATTCTCTTATGGGATCTTTAGAAGCTAAATATCAATACTTGGTGGGGATTATTTCAATTTTAGAAAATAATTTCAACTTTTTTCTTCTTTAAATTTTTCCTTATGAACAGAACATTTATTTTATAGTAGAATTGGTCTTGAAATAGTAAGTCTTGTGATATAGCTAGATGTTTTCCTGGGCTTTATTGGAGTTTTTTGGTTTGTTTTGTTTGTTCGTTTGTTTGTTTTTTGAGATACGGTCTCAACTATATAGTTCAGTCTGTCTTTGAACTATAGATTGAACTACTATGTAGCCCAGCCTGGTCTCAAATTTGTGGCAGTCTTTCTGCTTGAGCCTCCCAAGTGCTGGGATTACAGGCATGTATCACCATACCTGGCTCTTTTTCTGCTTTTTCTACTAGTAATGTAGATTATCCTTAATTTGTAATTTAAAAATATAGATTCATATTTTTGTATCATTTGTATTTTTTAAAATACAGAGACATGGTCATATACTTGACCAAGACACAAAAAGTAACTTTTCTGTTTCTCATCATCCTCTTCCCTCATGAAAAATTCATAAAAGCATATATATACACACACACACACACACACACACACACACACACACACCTTCCTGGGAAAATTTTGATTATATACCCAAAAAAGAGTATATTTATTATTTGCCTTATTTTTGAAAACCTACAGAATTAAAATGTTACTTTATATGGAAAAATACTACATAAGGCTTTTTTTTTTTAATTTTATTTATTTGTGTGTGTGTGTGTGTGTGTGTGTGGCCAGCTCAGCCCACCAGTGGGCGGGGCTGGCTGGCATGTGGTGCTGGGGGATCGAACCGCAGTCCCTGTGCTTTGCCAAGCTTGTTCCAAGTAGTTGCTTTAGACCACTGAGCCATCTCGCCAGCCCCATAAGGCTTTTATAGTTGTCCTTAGCTGGAAATAATTTGCCTATTTATATCTACTAGCATGTGTTCTGCATTGATTCTTTTATTTCAGAATATCCTTGTTTCTTAGTTTATATTTACTGTTTCCTTCTATATTTCCTATTGAATTATTAATTTGAATAAAACTTGTTATAGGGTGTGGATTTTGTTTTTGTTTTGTTGAGACAGGATCTCACTATATAGTTTAGATTGGTCTGGACTCATTATGTAGTCCAGTCTGACTTCAAACTCATGGCAGTCCTCCTGCCTTAGCCTCCCAAGTGGTGAGATTACAGGTGTGCACTAGCCTATGTATTTTTTAAAATATAGATTAGAGACATAGTCATATAGACTTGACCAAGACATGAGTATCAGAAAATCTTGCACAGAAGTATATTTTCTTATTTACTAAGAAAGTTCATTAGGCTTAAGTTTTTTTAAATACAAGTAAAACTAAAAATAAGATCAACTTTCCAAGACAATGTCAGAATAGGATTGAGCTAGGCATTGGTGGTACACATCTGTAATCCTAGCACTTGGGAGGCTAGGGCAGGGGCAGGAGGATTATTGTAAGTTTAAGACCATCCTGAACTGCATAGCAATACCCTGTCTAAAAGAGACAAAAGAAGAATAGGATTGAATTTTTTAGGTGGTATAAATGCTGTTTTGAGACAGTTACCCAGTACATGGAATACAGTCACTGATTGTGTAAGAGCTAAAAACTATTTGGTTTGAGATTTAAATTAAGACTAATTAATTTCCTCCTGTCTCTAAACAGTAGAATTTTTCTTCCCTACCCCTAATGCTAGGAATCAAGCCCACAGCCTCGTACATGCTAAACCAGTACTCTGCTACTCAGCTACGTATCCAGCAGAATTTTAACTTCTGTGATGTTGAGAAGCTGCCTTTGTACTTCTTTTTATTGACAAACTTATAATAGTTAATATATATTTTAGGAAGTAGAATAAAATACAAAGGTCCTCATTAAGAGCTATAACCATAGTGAGTACTCAGAGTGTTGGTAATATATAGTACCAAAAGGGTTAGATAATAATTAACCATGTGTGGATTATTTTCTTTTTCTTTCTTTTTTTTTTTTTTTTTAGCTGAACTGGGGATTGAACTCAGGCCCTTGCACTTGCCAGGGAAGCGATTATTTTACTGAGCCATCTCCCCAACCCCAATTATTTTCTTTTTGAAGATAGTTGACAAATTTATAGCTTTTTTGTCTTAGGAAGAATAACAGATGATAAATCTTAGGTATAACTGAACAGTTGAGATCAAGCCATCTGATTTATTAAATAATAGTGATAAAATGCCAATTACATAACTATCTTTAAAAGTAATAAATTAATTCAGGCATTGTGACATGTACCTATATTCCCAACTACTCAGGAGGCTGATACAGGAGTATTGCAAGTTGAAGGCCAGCCTGGAAAACTTATTGAGGTCCTATCTCAAATTTTTTATTAAAAAAATATTGAAGATATAGCTTAACACTGACCAGGTTCAATTACCAGTACTAGGGAACTTCATTTGTTTTTAAAAAAAAATTATTTTCAACTTTATTTTCTTCTCATCTTTTGAACTAATCAGTAATTCATTATGATTGGGAACACTCAATAAGTGCTTACTATTCTAAATACTAAGGTAAGTGTATAGTAATATATTGTCCCTGCCCTTAATCTGGTATTTCAATGTGTGGCTACTTGTCCTTTTTTTTATGTTTTGTTTTTTGTTGGTGGTGGCTCTTTTAGGGAGACAGGGTTTCACTGTGTAGTTCAGGCTAGCCTCAGACTCACAATCCTCCTTATCCTCCTGCCTCAGCTTCCCAAGTGCTAGGATTACAGGTGTGTACTACCACACCTGGCTCCCTCCAACTTTAAATAACAGTTTACAAATGAAAAGTTTTGTTACTTCTTTTTCAAAAGCTATGAAACTACCAAAGCATAGTAGCACACATATATACTCCCAGCACTGGGGAAGTTGAGGCAGAAGCATCTCATTGAGTTTGACACTACCCTAGGCTATGTGGTGAATTCAAGGCCAGTCTGAACTATATAAGTAGACCCTGTCTCAAACCTCTCCCCCAAAAGGCTCAAGATGTAGCTCAGTGCAAAAGACCTGTATTCAGTTCTCACTACCACCAATTTTTTCAAGTTGCTAGTATATATAATCATTTATTAGAATATTTTTATTAAATTAGCTATAGGGCTGGTGAGATGGCTCAGTGATCTAAAGCACCTACTTAGAACAAGCTTAGCAAAGCACAGGGACCGCGGTTCAATCCCCCAGCACCACATGCCAGCCAGCCCCGCCCCCTGGTGGGCTGAGCTGGCCACACACACACACACACACACACACACACATAAATAAATAAATAAATAAATAAATAAATAAATATTTTTTTTAAAAAATTGGCTATAAAAGGGAGTGAACATATTAATGCTTTTGATGTTTGTTGGTTATTTTTTAGCCTCAATTTTTCCATTTGAGGATATTGTTTTTTCAACTTCTTATTCTTTTAAAACTTTCTCCTAGTAATGCCATTTATTGAATACTTTGTACTATGAAATAAGTTTTTCATTACATTTCTCTGTAATAAAACTGATAAAAGAGCTGGGGAGATATCTCAGTGGTCTAAGTGCCTGCCTGACAAGCACAGGGACCCAAGTTCGATCCCTGGTGGCACATACCATGTTGGCCCTGGAACACTGGGTGAACTGTGCTGGCCCTGAAACCAGGCATAGTGGTGCATGCCTGTAATCCCAGCACTGGGGAGGCTGAGACAGGAGGATCACTATGAGTCTGAACTGCATAGTGAGACTCTGTATCCAATAAATAAATTTTTTTGAAAAACTGATTTAAAAAATTACTCACTGGGGAAGATAGCTCAGTGGCATAAGCACCTGCCTGGCAAGCACAAGGTCCTGAGTTCAATCCCCAGTGCCAAAACTAAATAAATAATAAACTAAAAGAAGAAAAATAAAATGAAAAATTACTCACTGAAATCATGGATGTTTATTAAATGCCTTCTACATGTCAGGTACAGGATATATGGAGAAAACAATAAGTAGTCTTTGCTTTTGAGATAATTTATGATCTTATTGGCATGGAGATGGTTGAAGAAATAAGAGTTGGAAACAGCAATTCAGCAGACTATTACAGCATAGTGTATTATTCATGTAACTATGCTGTGGGTACAGAGGAAAAAAAGGAAAGAATCTTAACTCAGATGATTAGGAAAGGAAAAGTAAGAAAGGGATACAAGAAATGCTGGGAAGGCTTGTAAGAGGTGATGACTCAACCTGGACTGTGAAGGTTGGCAGATACTTCAAAATATTTCATCTCTTTTTAAATGAAGTCTAGTGTTTTTAAGTACCAAACAAATAGACAGTTACATATTTT